CCATCAATAAAGCAAATGCAGAACTATTATCGGTCTCAAGTTTGACAGCACAGGAAATTGATTTTGGATAAAAACAACAAACGCGATTGTTTTTAAAAAAAAACCAAAAAAAAAAAACTCTTCAAGCACGTCTGAGCATTCAGTACCAGCACTTGTAAGCTTTGGCAGGAAAATTGGCTAAGTCGGAAACCAGAAAAGCCGGGAGGCTGAAATTTTTAAGGGAATGCTTTCCATCCAAGTACAACTTGAGACCGAAGTGCGCGTGAAGACTGGTTTTAAAAATACGGGACCATGCGCAAGCAGAGAACATCCCCTCAAAATTTCAGTCACCTAGCTTTCATAGTTCCTATGTTATTAATTTTGACGCCAGAAATTTCACTCGTTCGTACATGAGGCCTAGACCTAGCTTTCATGGTTCCCGAGATGATTTTCCTTTTCTGCTGGTAAATCTCACTGACATGTTATGTCGTGTGTGTGGTATCGATTAATACGTGAGAATATACGCGCAATTCCACAGAAAGGCGCAAATTAAAAGCGTAAAATTTACATGACTAGCTAATTCAAAAGATAGGCTAACCTTACGAATGCACTCGATACGTCCTTAGATCAGTGCTGTGAGAAACTAACTCCAACAGTGTATAATGTAGCCAGTGTTGCCAGTACAATTAGATCCTCCAAAATAGCACATCCTTTTGTTCAACCAAATATCGTATACGTAATGTGCTTGTGCAATAACAACACACATCTCAAAATAAAATAAATAAACATTGGGATCAAACATGGTGGAGCCATAAGTCATAAGACGAATAATTAGTAACATGAGGAGAACAGCCCGCCTTTCATCCCTTACCTATAAACACAGCAGAAAAGAGCGGCAGATAAATTTGGAATGAACATCACTCCAACACATCGCAGCGAAAACCATATGATCATAACTGGTCTCTACGATTAGCTGCGTTGTAGGATGCGAAACATATGGTTATGAGTACATTAGCAACTGCGAAAAATGCCTGCGCTGCACGAAGCTGTCGTCAAAGTGCATTCAGTCCCACAACATGGAGGCTCGACGAATTAGCCCAAAAGATAGCAGTTTGTCCCAGCAGTGATTAAGTAAGTGATGGCTGCATGAAAAGTGAGCTAGAGCTGAACTGCCTCCCTGGCAAGCCTTGCACGACAGTTTTTTTTTTTTACGAATTTACCATCGAAACAAGTCCAGTCTTCTAGCTTCTCAGATGCCCGAGTTAACGACTTACCTGAAAAAAACTTTGGTGGGCCCGTGCGCGAGTACCACGCTTACTCGGGGGCTGGATAA